ATACCATACACATCCGGTGTAAGCTTTAATACAGGGAATGCTATCATATGGTGTTTATATTGCTTTATTAATTTTGAAAATACACTTTTTATTGATACATTGAATGTTATAATTTCGCTGCAAAACTACTGAATAACAAATAAGTGTTGCGTAAGATTTTCTTCTCACAATTAAAATAACAAATTTTTCATTTTTTATTTAAAAAGATTTCAAATTATTTTATAAATATAATTATTGTAAGAAAACAGTAGTTCTCATGTGTTTTATTGTATTTTCTAACTGAACGATAGCTTTTGTGAGAGTTTAGTGAACTTTTCAACTAATATTAGACTTTAATTGAAATAAATTATAATTACAAATAAGGCATTGAAGTGATGAGAAGAAAATTTAACAATTAATTACTTTATAAAAACATCTTTCATTACGATTACTGAAAACATAGCTTTTATACTCAAAACAACTGAAGTTATAATAATTTAATATATTTCTCATACATTTCTGGCACTAAATTAACATTTATTACATAATAATCATTACAATAAACGGTATTCTTATGGGAAAGTGTGAGAGCTTTTAACGTAATGCCAAAACTTCTATACCATAGCATTGAATGGCATGAGAGGGCAACACATGCTTGTCATGCAATGCAACACAAAATCCTTCAAAACTGTGTATTATTTGGTTACGAAATAGAGTGAGAAATACAGTTAACTATAGCTCTTATGACACAACGTTATCAACATATCCTTTGATAAGACAATTGTTTGATTAGTTTTATGATTGAAGTAAATATTATATGAAATTTTGAATTCGTGTCAATAATTGGTTGTTGTGGTGGATATGGTGTGGAAACGAGCGCTGACTGTGTGTCTGTGTGTCACCGATAGCGTCGTTAGACTGTATTGAGTGAATGGCATAACACATAACACACACAGTGTTTGACAAATGGATTGAAAGTATGAATCATTCAGTCATTCATTATTGAGATTATGTTTACGTTTTGATCGCAAAAACAGTCAAACAATTCGTGATTTAATTATTGATTCAATTATTGTCGACACGAATGAAGACTCAGTCAATACAATCCATACACTCAACACATTGTCCATCACTTCCACTCACTCTTTGACCACTCAGTCGTGAACAGAGCGTTGAATTACAGGACAACACAACCAGTGATGCAAAACCATTCAAATCAGTTGATCTCGTCGTCCAGCGGTTCCCACCGAAGAGTGGCCTCCAATTCGTCCAACTCTTCGGCAAACAATATGAACGCCAGTAATAGAGAGCCACTGAAGCCGTTATCGTTGGCCGAGTGTGTGGCCGAAGGCTGTCCGCCGCCCACTCTTGTGCTCAATGACAAAGTGGTCTGGATTTCAGACAACGGCCCGGAGTTCGGGTGCGTTAAATGGTTGGGCAAATTGCCAGACGTGGGCACCGATTGGATGGCAGGCGTGGACTTCGCGAACGCCGTCGGGTCGGGAACCGGTCTATACAACGATCATCAGCTCTTCGAGACGCGTCTGAATCACGCGTCACTCGTCCCTGTGATCGGACTCATGAAAGCTCACGACTATTTGGGCGCAAACCAGCCGTCGGGCCATCACTTCGCCCAACACAACAGTCCTGTGCCTCAAAAGCCCCGGCGGACCAAATCGGGCAAAAAGGACGACGAGAAGAGGGCCCACACGCCCTCCGCCGCCGCCCACAAGACGATGTCCGGCGCGGAAGCGAATCCAATTGAATCTCATTCCGTGACCATCGCTGAAGTGAATAAGTTGTCGCACGGAAACAGCTATAGCTCTATGATAGCCAACAGCTCATCCAAAGCTAAACCAATTAACTCATCGATTGTGTCCATCACTAACACATCCAACCACTCATTGCCCTCATATTCGACGGCCGAGTCGTTGTTAAACACCGCAAGTCTTTCCTCACATTTGCCCGAAAAGCAGCTGAAAATTCCCGACAGAGAAGCTCTCCATTCGTATAACAATTGTCTGTCGGACGAGTCGATCGTTGGACTCAACTCCCAGACCAATGGGTTGAATGGTCACGACTTCGAGATCGGTTCGGTTGTCGAGTTGAATATCGATGACATCTCCCGATACGGTGTCGTCAAATGGATCGGACCGTTGTCTGTGAACGATGGCCACGATTTGGGCGATTGTCTGATGGCTGGCATTGAATTGGAAGAAGAAGTGAACGGCTTATCGGACGGCACTTATAACGGGAAACGATATTTCGATTGCGCGCCCAAAAAGGGTTATTTCGTGAAACTCAGTCACTGTCTAAAAGACAGTCGTTTCGCGTCGATGTCTGAGCGCCGAAGGAGTGCTCTCTTCGGAAGCATTGACTGCCCGACAGTGACCGGAGACGTACCGCCGCTGAGCACTAGCGACGACTTGCAGTCGCTGTGCGGCAAAAATCGCGGCATTCAGGGACACCACAACTCCTGCTATTTGGACGCAACCCTATTCTCGATGTTCTCGTGCACCACAATCTTCGAGTCACTGCTTCATCGGCCGCCGCGCGGCGACGACATACCCGAGTATAAGGAAGTGCAACGAGTGCTCAAAGAGGAGATCGTTAACCCTCTTCGGGCCAACCTTTACGTTAGAGCCGATCGAGTGATGCATTTGCGGACACTTCTCGAGAAAATCAGTTCCGTTCGCGGACTGACCAGCGAAGAGAAAGATCCAGAAGAATTTCTAAACCTTTTACTCAATGAGATATTAAAGGCTGAGCCGTATCTAAAGCTAAGCTCCGGTTTGGAGTCGTTTTTCTACCAACTCTTCGTCGAGAAAGACGAAAAACTAACGCTTCCGACAGTTCAGCAACTGTTTGACCAGTCATTCCTGGCGTCAGACATAAAGCTACGAGAAGTGCCGCCGTGTCTACTCATACAAATGCCACGATTCGGGCGACAGTTTAAAATGTATCCCCGAATCGTTCCGAGCCTTTATCTGGACATCACTGATGTGTTGGACAACAGTCCGCGACAGTGCGCTATATGTGGACAATGCGCTGAATACGAGTGCAAAGAATGCTTCGGTCTGTTCGGCGAGGGTCTCGACAGTACAGCCTTTTGTGGCAAATGTGTCGATAAAAATCATTCACATAAGAAGCGAAGCAAACACAAGACCACCAAACTGTCGATTCCGGCCGAGTTTCATATGTTGAAAGAGCACTCACAGGTGCCCCGCATTTACATGGAGTTATTCGCTGTCTTATGCATCGAAACCAGGTTTGCATTCAATTTGATTTATAATTACTTTTTACTTATAAGTTATAACTTATAACCCATTGTTTTATTGTTTTGAGACTTTAATTGATTAGTAATTATGTTTGCACGACATTCACAGCCATTACGTGTCGTTCGTGAAGTGTGGGTCGGGACCGGACAGCCCGTGGTGTTTCTTCGACAGTATGGCCGACCGCAAGGGTACGCATCCATCCATTCATTATCAACATAAATGATCTCTATTTTCAATGATAACAATCCATTTGAATTACAGGCGAACAAAACGGCTATAATATCCCAGAAGTGGTATCGTTCCCAGACTTAAGGTATTTATATTGTATTTAAATGATGATAAATGATTGTATTACTAACACAACACTATGGCCTTGTATTGTGTGGCCTTGGATTAGGTGGTGGCTCAGCGAAGAGGGAACTGCTTTCCTATTGAACACAAAAGACGACAAAATGTTGCCCGAAATGCCGAGACGTCTCTTCTCTGACGCCTACATCTGTTGGTACGCATCGGATGTGTTGCGATACCGTTGAGCACATCTCTACACAACCCATACATCCTTGTAATCATTATAAGCCTTTCACTACAATTAATTGCTCGTATTATTAATACATATAAACTATTATTTTGATGCTCTTTTGTCACGCAATCAAACACTTTGTATAAATCTCTACTCAGAACTCACTTTTCTCAATGCATAACCAAAATCGAGAGTAACTTATAGTTGAGTCGAGAAACTGTTTCGTTAAATCACTTCTTAGTTTGAAACAAATTTTACGCATATTTTTGGGCAACTTTTAGGTTATGTTTTTCATAAATCTATTATTAGAATTGTATTATAATTTTTAAAACATAGTTTTCGAAGTTTTATGTAATTATCGACTTTTAATAGGATTTAAATCAAATGAATTGTTAGTTTTAATTTAAGCACAAAAGAGATCTATATTATAAATATATAACTTATGTATACCTTATGTTAAAAGTATATCTAACTTATTATGAAAATTACAAATTAACTCCGAATGACTGTTAATAGTATGGATTGTACTGTAATATTGGCAGAGAAATAGTCATTAAGTGATTGATATGATTGTGTCATCAAAAAACAAATGTGTATTTAATGTATTTTTCACTCAAAGAATATCTAATTTAAGCGATACTTAAAAATACTAATAATAATTAAATTTGAAAAATAAAATAATTCGAAATACAGTAATCATTGTAATCATTGTTGTGATTGTAATTTCTCTCATTTTTTCAACTAAAAACACAAAAACTAAAATAAGAGAGTTGTCTGTCGTTAAAAAGGGATTTTGAAAAAATAATATTATATTAAGTGGTTTTATGTACAGAAACGCGAGTTTTTAAAACTTATTTTACGTGATGTATAAAACAACACTTGGTTTGTGTTTTATGTTCAAAAGTATTGATTTGCGAAATGCGAGCGAATTATATATATGTTTCTCGAGAGAGATTCGTTAATCTAAACGTCATCCATGTCTATGTCGATGGGCGTGTAGTCGGCGCTCGACAGTCCCTCGTAGTCATCCATTTTACTATAAGAAATGGAGAGAAATCAGTCGTCAACTTATCAATTGTTTTTCATGGCATTCGCACGAGAAATACATAAATCATTGCAAAAAGTTTTGCGTCAAAATTATATACAACTCGTGTGTATGTGTGCGACGGATGGGCTGATGGGAAGGGCATACCTGACGGCCCGATACGTCAAAAAGACAATGCGCTTGAGTTTCTTGGAGTAGAAAAAGTAATTATAAGACCAAAGGCATCCGTCCTCTCCGTACGGATCAGAATTGAGGTCAGGATTATAGCTGTAAAGTGAATACACATGTCATATAGTCATACAATAAATGACTTTACTATTGATTTTTTCTCTCACATAACACTACTATTAAAAGTAGTTTTCAGTTATTCTGGTGATACACACTATGTTTTGTGTGTCACTCATAAAGCACTTGCCTGTATATATCGCACTCGGATAGTGTGATCTCGCTATCAATCGCAGACCACAGCTGAGCCTTAACCGAGTTGTAAGCCTGACGGGCGGCTGTGCTGAAGAAGTTCGAGTCCACGGCATCCATAACCCACTGAAACACAAAAACCAATAAAATTTAACTTAAGCTTTAAAGCCATAGATAACCGCAAAAAAACAAGTCAAACAATTTTATAGCCATTATTTGAATCGCTTTTATCGATTCTCTATATAAACTCATTATTCAAAACACTTTTGGCCTAATCTATGATATAATCGATTATTCATTCATACAATTATTGATTGGTTAAGTAGTGGATGGCATAGCTATGGTATATGTATTGTACTGTAATGTGGTGTTAATGTAAGTGAAAATGAGTGCAAACCTTAACACTCGGCTCTTTACTGAACTCATCACTTCTTGAATTACTGAAGTCGTAGTCCGGATGCGAGGCATTGAGTGTCGCAATCAAATAGAAGAGTGTCTTCCGACTGATAGTATCGCACAGATGTCCGCCCTCTCCGTCGCTGCTCTGACTTCGACTACAAATTGATAGCAATTTACCGATAAAAACGGTTAGTCTTTTTGTTATCCAAAGTCATTTGTATCGACTATTGACTGAACCCCAGAAGTCGAGGTCAACACAGCCGTCAACAATACCTGTATTTGTTAGGGCTGTGCGAGTGTGCGATAATGGTTTGTGGCGGCGATAAGGCCTGCAAATCGTTGGGACTCTTGCCCTCTTCGTTGTGCATTGTCTTATAGAGCTTCTTCTCATTGCCGGCCATTTTGCACGAATAGCTCTCCACTCTATCCGACGATTAAAATAAATAAATTATTAAATGAAAGCCCTATTGATTGCTAAGTGTGTACAGAGAAAGTACTGCCAAAATGTGTTCATAAATGGGATAATAAATGGTTTTGAATGAATGCGACCGCAAATCATGTAATATATATATGATTGGAGACAATCGAGAGAGAAATGATCGCATATTTCATATGTTCTGTCATTATATATAATCAACTATTTTTCTGACGTTTAATACTTTTATAACAAATGGAAACATATTTTCGTTCATTAATTAATACCAAAAGATAAGCAAAAGAATCATTAAATTAATAGCAAATTAAAAAAAAGTCAAAAGTTAGACACAGACAGAGAAAAAGTGATTTGACATTGAATTTAATGACAATACAGACAGAAAGTGCACTCAATTATTGCTATACTATATACCAATTCTCAAGTCTATCAAACAAACAATATATAGAAATGGATCACAAAATTCAATGCCAACAATAAGATTAAACAAATTACAAGAAAAATGATAACATTTAAAATATTAGATAAAAGTTTAGCAAAAAATGATGAATATATTAATGAATGTGTGATAATATGCGGGTATGGGAAGTGTTGGGTGACTTATGACAAACCTGGCCACTATCTGGTACTGTTCGGCATCGAAATGCAGGGCACAGTTGAGTGCCTCGAAACGACTGCTTTCCAATAGTTTCATATCAAACGGCCCTTCAATTTGTATCACTTATTGTATTAATAATATATTAATTCAATTATTAAACCAATAAATTCCTGTTCAACGCAATTGTTATTCTTCTCGTTAGTCTCTTTGAATATCGATATCGAAAATACGATTAAAATGTTTGCAAAAATATTATTATCTTCGGATCCGTTGTCTTGAATTTCCGATAAGACAATGAATTGTTTTCTTCTTTTTTCAATGAATGAAAAGTAAACTTAAAATTCAAGACAAATATCTATATATTGTCGTCAAAATTGTTTGAATAATAAGAGCAGAAAATCAATTGCATTAAAAAGAAATAATAAAAAACTGTATTATATTTTTTTGGTCTCAAAACTAATTGAATTTGTTTTTTATAGTTATATCAAGAGATGACTAGAAATTGGATCAGACTTTTTGTCTCCAATTAAGACAATATATGTATTTATATAACAGTTTTATATGAAAATTAAATTATTTTCTGACAATAAAATCCAATGAGATCTTCAGTTGAAGCGACTTTTAGCCGTTGTTTCCTCTCTTCTGGTAATGGATTCAAGTGTTCACTCAAATGGGACTCAAAGACCGATTGTTTGATTCATATAAATACACGACAAGACAATTGGTTTGACAGCAAATGTTTGAAACAATAGTCTAATAACTATTATTAATACAGTTTTTAAATATACTCTTCGGATGTCTTTGTATTCTTCTATTATTCCTCATAATTGACGAAATGGTCACAAATTTGTTGCTAAAGATATCGACAAAACAACTCAAGTCTTGTGAAAAAGTGGACGCAAAGTGAGACTCAATGGACGAACAGCTGATTTGTGAGGAGAACAGCATTTAATGGTATTTACAGACAATTAATGCACAAAATATTTGCCACAATTTAATGGCAATTATTATTACAACTAAATTGTTATCAAACGGACTCTTGGGATCAGATAAGAGGAGTGTATGTCTTCGCTGATTGGATCAGCACTTGTTGTCAACTGTTTTATGGCAAACAATTGCACACAAAATACACATATAATTGGCTTTCGATCGCAAAGCGAGACTTAAATCACTTTAAATTCAATTCAATTTGCATTCAATTCGCAGACAAATGAAGACAACAAACAATTGAATCATTAATTGATTTCAAATATGATTTGAAACACGATTTGAAAGCAAACACACAATCAATTCATTCAATCATTTACTTTGTGTCACAAATAGTAATCAAAATAATACTCATTGAGTGTCAATACAAATGTCATTCCTTACCATAAATTACGGCCAATCAATGGCTCACACTTTGAGTGCCGCCAAAGCAATGGACGGACCACTCATTCAATGCCGTTATTGATGGACGAAACGAGGAAAACAATTATTGTTCATAATATGCTTCAGAAACACAAAGTCGAGGATTTGAGACACAATTGTATTGAGATTTGGCTTATAATTTGAGTGCAAGAGTTATGCAATTTATACATGAATTTAGTTATTATAGTTATAATTATATCGCAATTGATGTGAATATTGCATACATTATGTTGTGATGAATGCATTTTTTGAATCATAATTATCATTATCAATTCATTCATGTATTCATTCAATTTGAGCACTCATTTCAAGCCATAATTATTGCCAATATTTCTGTTTAATTGAAAATTCATTTTTTTAAACATAGACTACAGAATTGGTTGTGATTTTATGGTTCACATCCTATGCCATGATATGCACCGCTTTATTCTCTCTCTCTCTCTCTCTCTCTCTCTGTCAATTCAATAGTGAATAATACTCATTGAGTGTCAATACAAATGTCATTCCTTACCATAAATTACGGCCAATCAATGGCTCACACTTTGAGTGCCGCCAAAGCAATGGACGGACCACTCATTCAATGCCGTTATTGATGGACAACACGAGGAAAACAATTATTGTTCATATTATAATATGGTTGAGAAACACAAAGTCTAGGATTTGAGACACAATTGTATTGAGATTTGGCTTATAATTTGAGTGCAAGAGTTATGCATTCAATTATACATTCAATTTCTCATTAGTTATTATACAGTAGTTATACTTATATCGCAATTGATGTGAATATTGCATACATTATGTTGTGATGAATGCATTTTTTGAATCATAATTATAATTATCAATTCATTCATGTATTCATTCAATTTGAGCACTCATTTCAAGCCATAATTATTGCCAATATTTCTGTTTAATTGAAAATTCATTTTTTCAAACATAGACTACAGAATTGGTTGTGATTTTTTGGGTTCACATCCTATGCCATGATATGCACCGCTTTATTCTCTTCCCTTCTCTCTCTCTCTCTCTCTCTCTCTC